CCCTCCCTGTCAATCAGCGGGTGTTCCATCTCCGCCTGGGCTGGCTGTGCAAACTTGGGCAAGTTGCCCAACTTCTCCTGCCTCAGTCTAGTCAAATGCGAAATGGGGCTGATAATCGTGCCTGCCTCGTGGGGTTGTAAGGATTAAGTGAGTGGATATACACGAAGCTCATAGAACACTGCCTAGCACACAGTGCTCATTAAATATGAGGTTATTTTTTAAGCACCCACTAATGTGCCAGGCATCTAGTCGTAGACAGACATCAGGCTCGCTCTCAAGGACAAGTGAATACCAGACAATTGTAATACAGTGCTGTAAGCCAGGATAAAGCTTTTGAGACTCCAGAGAATGCCTCTGACACGGCCACTGGGTAGGAGATGAACGAGGACTACCTGGAGGAGGTGCTGCTTAAATTCGCCCTGAGAAGAGCAGGAGTTAAGCAGCCAAGTTGTAGACAGGGCTGGGGAAAGAAGAGTGTTGTAAGCAGGGCAAAGGGCACCAGCCAAGTCCTGGAGGTGTGACAGCGCACCAGGACTGCAAAAGGGTCTGTGCGGCTGGAGCTTAGACAGTGGGAGGAGGCAGGAGGGAGGTGACTTGCTGCTGTGTTGAACAAGGGTGGAGGCAGTGGGGCTTGAAGGGAGTACCGTTGACCCCCGAACATCATGGATTTGAACTGCGCAGGTCCACTCATAAGTGGATTTATTTCAATGATCTAATGGAAACATTTTTTTGAGATTTGTAACGATTTGAAAAAAGACATTCTTTTCTCCGGCTTACTTTATTCTAAGAATACAGCGCATAGTACAGATAACATACAAAATATGTGTTAGGCGACTTGTTTATGTTTTCGGTAAGGCTCCGGGTCAACAGTAGTCTATAAGGAGTTAAATCTGGGGGAGTCAAACATTATACGTGGATTTTTGACTGAGTGGGCAGCCAGCGCCCCTAACCCCTGTGTTGTTCCAGGGTCAGCTGTAGTGGAGAGCAGAGCGATTTCAGGAGTCAGAAGGGGCCGGGCTTGGAGACCGCCTCCACGGGGTTCCTGGAGGGGGTGGGAGGAAGAACTGATTGTGCTGTGTCCTCTAGCTGCCGGATGCAGCCGCACACACTCAGCTGTGACCCTGGGGGACTGGAGTGACCCGCTAGACCCCGATGCTGAGACCCAGATGGTGTACCGGCAGCTGCTCCTGGGGAGGAACCAGCTCAGGTGGGTGGCCCCACCCATCCTACATCACCCGCTCTGGCCAGCGGGCCAGCTGTCCACTGTGGCCTGCCATGTTAATTTTTTCATTTTTCCCATACGCATCAGCTGAGCTTCCCGAGAAGGAGGGGGGCAGGTTCAAGGCGAGGACTGAGGAGCACCCTGGGGCAAAATGCCTGCAGAACTGGACCTTAGGATCTTGGGCTCCATAGGCATGGGCACAGAGCTTAGATGTTTCCCCGTTCCCTTCCCAGCTGGCCTCAAGATCACTGTTGTTACTCACTGACAGAGATTTGTTCTTACTCATTATAGACAGCTGGCCTGCCCGGATTCAAATCCTAGCCTAGCCACTTACTGGCTGTGAGATCTTGGGCAAGTTGCTTACCCCCTCTGTACCTCAGTTTCTTATCTGGAAAATAGGGATGATAATAGTACCTATCTTATAGTGTCCTGAGGACCAAATAAGCTTACACAGGTAAAACACCTGTAGGTACTTGGCCATGTAATTAGCTCTCAATTATTATTATGCTGTGCAACCTTAGGAAAGTTACTTTACCTCTCTGTGTCTCAGTGACCATCTGTATAATGCAACTAATAGTAAGTGACTACCTGAGGTAAACTTTTTGTGTGTGATAATTAAATGAGTTAATACATGTAAAGGGCTTAGTCTGGCACTCTACAGATGGATGCTGTGATGATTAAAGGAAACTTGTAATGTTTCCTGTATCCAGCAGAGAATCTCTTGGGTAGAGAGCAAGACTGGGAATCAGGGACCAATCTTGTCTTTCTCCCTCTCATCTTTCAGGATGAAATTCCTGGAGGATTCCAACACAGATACAAGTCTGGCAGCGGATGCAGGGAAGGGCCCCAGTACCACAAAAGGTAAGGGGTTATGGAGGTCCCTCTGCCCTCTAACACCTCCCACAACTTGCCAAGCACATCCCTGTGTCTTCCTCTGACTCTCTTGTTTCCAGTCTGCCAGCAGGCTGAGGGGGCAGTGGGGAGGCTGTGTGTGTGCTCTGCCACATTTTAGGATTCTCAGGGCACAGGCAAATCTGGAGCCTGAGGAAGCTGAGTCTGGATTATGGCAGGCTGCCCTGGCCTGGCTGAGCCCTTGTCTCTCTCCCAGGGGCCTGTCCTGATGCCCTGGTCCGGCAGCGGGAGGCAGCTGCCCACCTGCTGGAGGTGCTCGCAGATTTGGATCGAGCCCACGAGGAGTTTCAGCAGCAGGAACAGGGAAAGGTGGCCCCAGGTCCCCTGGGGCCCTGAGGACATGCCAGAGCCAGCCTGGAAGGAGGAGGAAGGAGCCGGGCTCTTCTCAGCATACCCTGGCCCAGAAGCCCCTCCTGGCAGTCCTGTACCCACTGATGCTGTGGCTTGGGGGCTTCTGGAGATATCCTTGCCCCATGTGCCCTAAGTCCAGAACTCTGGGCATGGAAGCCCTCTGGCAGAGGGCCAGCCTTGTACTAAATGAGCCTTGCTCTCTGGGTTGAGGCAGACTGGAGAGGATGGGATAAGGAACTGACTCATTTGGCTCAGCCTGACATCTCTGCTTCACCAGACTGTCCTCTACCCACAATCAAGAGGCCAGCTTGGCCCTGAGTTGCTGTTACAGCTGTACCTGAATTTCTAATGCCCATGTGGCTTTGTTGTCCCAGACAGGCACTAAATGGGCTCAGCCCTTCCTGTTTTCATGTCTGCTAACCCTTGTAACCTCATTGATCCTCCTGAACCCTGCCCTTGGCTGAGTCTTAATAACCCAAGCTTCCAGAATCAGGTGCCCACAGGAATAACAGGCCAGTAGACCCGTGTACCAGACTCAACCTTTGGAGAATAGAGACCTTGAGCCAGGCTCTGTTTCCCTCTTTGAGCCTCAGTTTACCCTGTGCAAAATGACAAGTGAGTTATCCAATCTAGATGTGTGGTTTTTAAACTGGGTCCCACAGAGTTAGCTTAGGAGCCAAGGACAGGGTTTCTCATACTGTGGTTCAAAGCCCACCGTTTGGGTTGTCTGCTAGACACATAGACTCCTGAGCACAGGTGTGGGGGCAGGAATCTGGATTTTTAACATTTCCTTGGGTGGCATGGATGACCATAAGATTTGAGGATCTGGGCGATTTTATGTATGAGAGTTTGAGGTGAGATTATGAGTCACCGAGGGTAGTGTGCTTGAGTACTCAACTGGCAGAACTGGATGGGCCTCCAAGGACTCGTTTCCGGTTTTGTAGGACTAGAGCGTGGGGCAAACTGGAGCCTATCTGGAGATAAGGTGGGTCAGGTAAAACATGACGCTATATCGAGGGCGGCCAGCAGGGGTCGCCTGGAGCCGCGACATCCACTATAGTCACCAGGCAACAGAAAGCGTTGCAGAGGCTGGAATGAGGCTTGTTGCTGATATGGGGATCCGTTCCTGTCTTTCCCCAGACAGAACCTTGCTCTGTAGGCTTGAGGTCCCATAGAGCCTGTCACGGGGTCTCCCAGCTCCTCCATATTTTCTGGGACGCACTCAGCTACCAGCCTGAGTTCTTCATCAGGAAGCAGCTGCATGCATTGCCTGGGCAGGAGCTTAAGAACAGCACCCTCACCTCTGCCCTCTTGGGGACCAGGACTAGGAGGGTTTGCCTCTGCCACCCTCATACCCCCTCTCTGCCCCATGACAAGTTACGGGCACCCTTCATCTCCACATGCCCAAAGCTTAGAGGGGCAACGTTCCTGGAGTCCTCATTTAAAATTCCCTGATGGGGCACTCTGAAGGCACCCAGGAACAGAGCCACCCACCCTCCCCTGCTTGGCAGGAAAAGACTGCGTGAGGAGGAGAAAACCATTTATTTCTCCACCCACAGTGGGACTGGTAGGTTTTCAAAAGAGCAGTCGCTGGCGTCTCTTTAAATCTTGGCTGACTCCCGACCGTGGCAGCCAATCAACAGAGGCGGAGCTGGTGAGTTGCCTGGGCAACAGGCCCCTGGTTGGCCAAGACCATCAGCCACCCCACTGCCCACTCCCAAGGAAAGGGAAATGGGACTCTTTGCTGTCCAGTCTTGCTTTTTAGACCTACTGGCCTAAGCTAGGCCTCCTTGTTTTGCTTCTGAAGCCAGAAGCTCCAGCCTTTGGATCATGAAGTTCGGAGTTATTGGAGAGGATGGGGTGGGGAGGAAAGGAGAACAGTGCCTTTATCTGGGACAGACACAGGGCCTGGGGATGGGAGAGGAAAACGAGGTCAGTCCCAGAGGATGAAGAGACACAAGCACACAGTAAGATGCCTTTCGACACTCTCTCTGGCTGCACCTTTGCAAAACTGCTGAATAACTTGGGGGCTTCCACCCCATGGGTTCACAATTGCCTGCCAGTGGGTAACAGAGATGGGGATGGGCTGAGCTTCCCGAGTGCCCCTTCCCCCTGGGAGCCCCCGCAGGCTCCCACGAGTTTGACCTGAAACGTCCTGCTTGCCAACAAGCCTGTACAGATGCGATAGAGGCATAGGGGGGAATCCACATGGGGTATCACAGGGGTCTTCTGTCTCTTCCCCCCGAGTCTGGGGGTAAGTAGAGGCACGTGGGTGTGCGTGCGTGTGTTCAACAGGACACGTGTGTTTGTGTGAAGAGGTGGGGCTCTGTCTTGGTAGGGACTTTGCTGTGGTTTCCAGCGCTTCCTCTGCCATCCTCTCAGGGAGCTTGGGTTGGAGCTGGCCAGACTACCAGTCTCCCATCATCCCAACCACCTGCCACCAAATCCCTGGGACACTTCCGGCTCCTTCTGCAGGCTCCTCCCTAGCCCTGAACCTGGGCCACCAGGACACAGCTGGTGGATGGAGGCATGTACCGGACCAGGGGCAAAGCAGGAGGGAAGGTGGGCAGCCTTGGGCCTCAGGCCTTGGCTGCAGCCTCAGACACACCCTGGGCTGTGAGCTCGGCCAGCACATTGTCCAGGTAGCTGGCATCTGGGTAGCCGTGGCCCGTGAGGTTGGATCCAAACTCCGTCTTGTGGTGGATCTCGTTCCACACCACAGTGTCCGACTCGCCCGTGGTATTGGACGTGCCGATGGTGAAGATGAGTCTCCGCTCCCAGGCCGTGATGAGCAGCCTCAGCACCTGGTGGGCAGGGCACAGGGACAGGGCCCGGCCGGGGTGGGTGGAGGTCGCAGCAGTGCTGCCTTGCAGCTCTGCCTCCCTCCCTCCCCAGCCACACTATGGCTCTGCTAGCACCTTTTAAGCCCTGCAGGATTCCCTGTGGCTGCCCAGCTTGGCCTCTTCCTTCCCTAGACTGAGTCCCCTAAGAGTTGCCCCAGTAAAAGCTCTTTCTAGGTTGTCTGTTTCTTCTCGGGTGAAGGAAGGGGCTCAAACCAACAGCTCTCAGCCATGTTTGGTTTGGACCCTATACTGTATTAAAGGATAGTCACTTTGTGACTTTGTTAGCAATAGTAAACCTGGAGATTTCATACAAGTCAGATTTCCTGGTTTCTCTTGAAAAACAAAGTAAAAGCAGACAATCTACAATGTGGTGGTGAAAAGCCTGGACTGCTTTGGGTTCAAATCCAAACTTTTCCACTTACTAGTTGTGTGACCTTAGGCAAGTTACTTGCCCTCTCTGAGGCTTCATTTATTTTTCTGTACAATGGGGTCAAGATTGGTAAATGAGATGAGATATATGAAGAGACTGGTGGCACTGGACCTGCACTGGGTGATTATGGTCAGTGCTGGTGCGGGAAGGGATGTAAGAGCAGGTGTTGGAGATGATGGGGGACTGAAGGCCCAGGCTGACAATGGCTGGGACCCCTGCACCCTCTTGGCACCCACCTTCCGGCCCTTGTCGTTGTTGGGCAGATAGCAGTGGCGTGGAAAGCCTCTTGCAGTGAACTTCTTGCCTGGATTGGGATGCTCAGGGCCCTGTTGGGGTGGGGGGACAGCAGGGACTTGAACCACAGACAGGCATGAGGGCCTCTGGAGGGTTCAGACGAGTTGGGTCAGGGGTCCCAGGGGGCTCACCTGGATGCCTGTGGGGATGTCGTAGACAATGCGGATGGTCTGGGTGTCAGTGAAGCCAGGCAGCGAGTGGGGGATGAGGTGGAACTCCATCTTCCCTGGTGGCTGAGTGCCTGTCTTCTCCCCATAGATGGCCTTGCAGGTGGGGCACTGCAGGCTGCCATCCTGGGGGCAAAGCTGGAAGTGAGTTCCCCAGGTGTTCTGGCCCCACCAGGCCCCCTCGCCTGCTCCCCACCCACTGCCTCATGGCCTGGCCCACCTTGTTGCCATTGGAGTACATGGCCACGAGGCACAGCAGGTGGTACATGTGGCCGCAGCGGCCCAGGCGGCCCACGAGCTCAGGCCGCACGCCCTTGTGCCGAAGCACGCCCTCGTAGCCAGATGCTGTGACCAGCCGCTCCATGCAGATGGTGCAGTCCTGGGGGAGGGGTCACAGAGGGGGTGCTGAGGACTGAGGTGGGTACGCTCCCCCACTTGGGTCAACACTGATTCCCAGGTTACCACAGGAGGCTGAGCACCCTCCCTCTCTGGCACCCATTTGTCAAAGAGAGAGGACACACTCAAATACAGAGGTCAGCTATATGGCAGAGGAGGAGATAGCTGCCTCACACCCCTCTCCAGAGGGATTAATGGCTTAACTATCAAAAGCAATATTTAAACAGGTTTGGTGGAAACGTGTATAAGATACAAAAGCTGTCAGTCATCAAGAGGTTGATCATGTGATTCTATTAGACTTAAGTATTTCCGTTAAGGAGACCCATAAACTGGGGAAAGAGGGTGTAACACAGAGGACCAGGAGCAGTTAGTATATTGGGAGGGCGTAGAGGGACGGCCCCCCTCCCGACCGGGCGGCTGCCCTCTGCCCGGACGGCCCCTCCCCCGGGCTCACCTCATCAGGTGGGTTCTTCACCTTCTGCATGTACCTTCGAACCACATCCTCGGGGTTCTTACCTGCAAGGACACAGCGCGGTAGGCTTGAGCGTGCTCAGAATCCACCCTGAGGGCTTGGCTCAGGACGGGTCAGAGGCCAGAGAGGTGGGCTGGTCAGGGTTGTAGGAGGTTAGATATAATCGGAGTCGGTGGCGGGTGGGGCCGGGGGAACAGGAGCTGGGATCAGGGGATGGAAGTGGGCTCGTAAGTCCTAAGAACAAATTGGAGTTGAGGGGTCCGAGGGATTGTGGTCACGGGTTAGTGAGGTTAAGTTCAGGGTCAGGGTCGTCCGTGGGAGGCATACTCTTTTTGAGGTGCTTCTTCTTGGTCTTGCGGCACACCCCGGGCACTCCGGGCACGGGCTTGACATCGCTCTTGCTCACGGGCGGGGGGTGCAGGATGGGCTTGGGGGCCCGCGTCAGGCACACGGGCAGGCCGGCGGCGCACAGCAGGATCCCTGTCATGCCTGAGGCGCAGCAGGGCAGTCAGGGCGGGGCGTCCCCCGGCCCCACCCCCCTGCTCTCCTGTCATTGGGTGGACGGAGGGGCCTCTCCCCTAGGCCCCGACCCTTCAGCCCCATCCCAGGTGGAAGCCCAGTGGAATGCCTTTTGCGGCCCACGCCCACCCTAGTATCAAGGCCCAGGGGTAAGGGGCGTTCCCTCTGGGCACCGCCCACTAGCCGACCCCGGGGGCGGAGTCATGGGGCTGCCTCCTTGTGGGCCCGCCTCTTTCCTGTTCCGGGCTGGATCTCACCTGCCAGAGCCGGGTGGACCGGTCCGGTACCATTCAAATTCTTCACCGGAAGCGCCGGGACCCTGAGGAAACAAGGGAAGAGGCCGCAGCTGCACTCCAGCCCCCAACATCATATTTGGACAGCCTGGTTTGCCTTCAGGCTCTGGCCCCCGGGCGTACTCTGACCCGTTTGTGCTTTTACTTCCTCTAGAATAATCAACAGGGAACTCCGTTCCGACTCCACAGCTTGGCCTAGTGAGAGCACTTGGATTCCAACAGCTCCCTTTCGTTGGCCACCGTGCCCAAAACCCAACTATTGGTGAGTCAGCCATTCTAGCATCTCTCAAAGTTAGCTACGTGGAAGATGATCTGGGAACGAAAGATTGAGGGATCAAATAAGTTATGAAACACTTCACTGTCTCTTTCTTGGAAATTCACAACATATATGAAGATATTAAAGGCTCTGATAAGTCCTGCATTAGGAAGTATGATCAGCAATGGTAAATCCAGGTTTTCCAAAGACATTTTATGGTTAAACATTTTTTCCCTTCTAGAATATTACTGATGTCAGTTCCTGTGACTAGGCATTGTTCCCTCTTCAAATGAGGTCCTAGGAAAATGCAGCCTGCTTCACCTCTTTGCCCTTCCCCCCAAAGAGCTCTGGCTTTTGGAATCAGCCAGAGCTTCTTTCATATCTCTGCCCAACCACTCACCAGCTGAGTGACACACAGCAGTTCATCACACCTCTTGTAAGCCTGTTTCCCCATTTGTAAAATGGAGATAATACAGCACCTTCCTGGGACTAGCAGTTACCAAAGGGATGGGGTTGTGGAGGGCAGGCGGGGAGGGAGGGAGAAGGGAATTAAGAGGCATTATAATTAGTACACACAATATAGATCATGGGGAAGACAGTATCGCACACAGAAGACAAGTAATGACTATAGCATCTTATGACACTGATGAACAGCGACTGCAATGGGGTGATGGGGGACTTAATATGGGTGAATGTCAATGTTGCTCATGTGAAAGAAACCTCCCTTAGATTGTATATCAGTGATACCTTAATTAAAAATATATATATAGTACCTTCCTTATGTTTGTTGTGAAAAGTCAATGAAATTCTACATGTCAAGAGCTAAGCACAGTTCCTGGTACCTAGCAAAGATTCTAACGGCATGAGCCATCATCACCATCACTGTGTCATCCTGCCTAAGTAATTTCAACCTCTGCACCTCGGCCCTGCCAAGTCATGGTGTAACTTCTCTTCTCTTGGCAAGGAAACCATGGATATATTGCAGTGACTAGCTTGGCCAAGTCACGTGAGCTCTGTGAACCTCAGTCTGTTTATCTGTAGAAGGGGCAGTAATAACACCTCACCCACAGGGCTGTTGGAGGGCTGAAGGAGAAAGTCTGCTGTGATCCATACAGTGTGTCTGCCTGAGTCTTCATGACTTCAGTGCATGGTTGTCAGGTGAACTGGTGTCTGCTGTTAATGGGCATGGAGCTGGCTAGATCAGTTTTGATGAAGAGGAGCGTTCTGAAAGCCAGGGAGCCCGAGGGGCCCAGGGGATGTGCTGGGAGGGGGTGAAGTATGGATGGGCCCCCGACAGTTGGGAAGGAGTGGCTACAAGCACCCTTGCCTGCCTGCTAAAGTCTGAGCCTGGCCCATGCTGCCTAGTCACCTACCTCCGGCAGGCACAGTTGGGCCCAAGGAGCTGGCTGGGAAGTGTCTGTAAGCAAATGGCATACTTGGCAGGCTAAGGTGCTGCTGCACTGGGTCCAAAAACATACATGCATGCACCTGTGAGCACCTGCAGCATATTTACACACACCCATATACTTGGGGAACACATCACACACGATTACTCAGATGCAGATATATACACACATATACTGCACAAACTGGCAACCTCCATGGACTATGCCCCCCCCCATGTACACACACAGACACGCACACATTCCAGGGAACACCACAAATAATGCAACCCCCCACCAGAAGCCCTCTCCCCAGACAGTTACACAGACACATTCATGGAAAATATGCCACACACATTTGCAGGCAGACACACAAACACACAAACACCCACACCCTAGGGAACACATACCAAGAACACACACGTGCAAAGATACACACAGGCACACCCTGGGAACTACTGCCCCCCACAAGCATACACAGATTATGAGACACACCCACCCACTTCTGCATGGAGAACATGCCACACACATACACACACACTCTAGGGAGCATGCACACACATGGAGACACACATTCACACACTGTGAGGACATTCAGTTGGACAAGAGAGGTCAGCCATGCAGCTGCCCCTCCCCAGACATACAATGCCGCGCAAAAGCAGACAGCAACTTCAGGGGAAAAGCACCTCGGCCTTTCCAAGCACCCGGCCCTCTGCAGCCTGCAAAGGGACCTTGCCATCCGTATATGGGGCCCAGGCAGACATGCTGTTTCACATTGCACACGGGACACAGCCACACTATTCACACTGTACATGGGGACACACACAGATGCACTGTGACCCACACTCTCCCACGAGGACACAAATATGCTCAGTCGGGGAGGCCCACACCTTGCACAGAGTCACACACACTATAACACATGCACAGCACACAGCCCCTACTCTCTGTAGCAGCTTAGCAACACAGACTTAATCCAGGTCAGCTGGGGCACTCTTCCCAGACGTTTCCCAGAAGGCAATGGGGTGTCTGGAACAGACACTGGGGTCAGTGAACACTTTGGTATTCATAGTTTGAGGCCAGCATGTGAGTGAACAGAGGTATCCTGGTTTTCTCCTTCCAGCAACCTTCTGGGACCCAAGAGATGGGCACTGAGTTTCCATCCGACCCTTCTCGGGGCCTGACATAATCCTCCAGGACCCTCCCACTATCACTTAATCTCATCCCTCCCCATACTCCTATAGGAAAGCTTCTCCTCTTCCCCGACTTTCAACACAGTTCTAGTGTGGACACACTGGTTAAGTTCTACAGCATTATCTAGGTCTCCCCACCCTCTCCCTTCCCTTCCATATTATAAGAAAAAACATCCCTCCTCCCCTGGGCTATCTGTAAAATGGGTGGAAAGAAAAGCATCTAGCATGCATACCACCACTTATCGCCTACCTGTGGCAGACATCACTAATTCATTACCATACTCTCCCACGCTGAGCAGAATCCTCAGCACATCTCATCAGGCAGCCTCTACCAATGAGTAAGGACCAGTTGCTACCCCAGGTCTATATAATGCCCAAAGCCTGGCCCAGCTTGTGACCCTGGTCTTGCTGAGCTTTTGAATTGGGTGTTAGGGGGAACCCAGAAAGGGAAGGTTGAAGATTTTAGCTGCCCTATAGTTTCTGATACATCTGAAAACCACTTAAAAACCATAGAACCCTGGGTTGTGAAAGTCAATCTTGCTCATGGGAAGAAGGGTGTGAGTGAGGCGTGAGGGTGGGGCTGTGTTTTATTTACTGATCATAAGCTGGGGCACAATACTGAGATGGCCCTCAGAGTCTCGCAACATGTAGGCCCCCTGGGAGAACCCAGGGTAGCAGAGTTCTCACGATGCCCGAGCGTGGGAGCCACCAGGGCCCCTTTTTGATGTGGGATGCGCTGCTTCCTCCAAGTCAATGAGAACATCCTCCTGCCCTGGACAAGAGACCGCTGCCTGCAGGCCTCCCGGAAGGGGGGCCAGCCTTCGCTCTCTGCTCCACCCTCTTCAGGTCCAGCCTGGCGAAGGGTGGGAAGAATCCTCAGGCCCCCTGAAACTTGCCCTGATCAGAAGCCAGGCCTGCCTACCCCAGGGCAGAGATGGGTCCCGCCATGCTGGCCTTCCCACTGCCTTTCCCAACCCATCAGATTCTGTTTCTACTTGGCCCTCAGTCCCAGTGGCTCCTCTCTTGTTCAGACTAAAATCTGGCCTCCCTTCCCTATGGGATATAGCCAGTACCTACCCCCTGAACTCTTATTTGCCCTGTGTCCACACCTCACCCACTCTACCTCAGCCTCCCTGGTTTTCCTGCTGTTCCTCAAATGATCCAGGCACATTCCACCCCAGGGCCTTTGCACTCGTTGATTCCTCTCCTAGAATGCTCTTCCCCAGATATCCTCGTGCCTCACTTCCTAGTTAACACGGGTTTCTGCTCAAATGGCACTGTGGCAAAGACCTTCCCTATCCCTTCACTCTAGAGAAGCCTCTGTCCTTGCCTTTGCCTGTCTTCATTTTCTGTCATAGCACCAATCAGATTTGTTATTACAAAGTCTCAGGCATGAGCAAGCCCTCCCTGCCTCTGTGAACTTATCTTTACCCCTCCACCCCTCTGCTCCAGACACATCTTCTGTTGCTCTAACATGCTGAGCATGGCCCCCTTTCAAGGCCTTTGCTCTTGCAGTGCCTTCTGCCTGAAGGCTTTCCCCAGATGTTGAATAACTTGCGTAGGTCTCTGCAGCAATGCCACCTCATCAGAGGTACCTTCCTGAGCACCTGACTTCAACACTAGTATATAGCACCTATATAGTATACAGTAGGTGTTCAATAAACACCTGTTGCATGAAAGAAGACTGGATTCTGCAGGAATATTCTGAGCAGATGACTCATGTGCACATTCTCCCCACCCTTTGCACACATTTGAAGTGAGCTTTGCAGCCAGTGTCCTAGAGAAACACCCTCTGCAGCCTCTAGTTCTCCAGAGGTGCTCTGCCAACATTCATCTACAGCGAGCATTTAGTGGTATCCTGTAGAACAGCCCAAGCCAACTTTCTCTAAGACATCGTGCCTCATCCAGAGGTTCCATGGCAAGCTCCAGGTGGCCTGGACATTTCACAGGGACTGTCTCCATGAGTGTGTCACACAGCGGCAGGCTGTGGGGTGCTCTCCGTGGCCAGCAATCCCAAGTGCTCATGATGTGCCAGATGCTGTGGCAGTGCTTCACTCCCTCATCTGATCGGCCCAACAAGTCCGTGATATCCCACTCTACAGAGAGGGAGACTGAGGCACAGAAAGGCGAAGTAACTTGCCAGTAAGGTGGGGCTGGGATTAGAGTTCAAGCTGTCAGACTCCGGAGTCTGTGCTGTT